TCATAATCAACGGAATTAAATGCACTGCTGAAATCCAATAATGTTAGGACAGTGAGTAGTCTTTTGTCCATGGCCCAGCGAATATCATCAGACACTTTAATCAGAGCGCTGACTGTGCTATGGCCTGGACGAAAACCAGATTGGAAAGGACTCAGCAAGTTGTGAACAGTTAGGAAATGAGACAGTTGCCTCTGAACTATATTTTCTAGTACTTTAGATAAGATTGGAAGAATAGAAATAGGTCGGAATTGGGATAAAGATGTAGGATTAGAAGTTTTTGGAAGGGGAATGACGAATGCCTTTTTCCAGCAAGTCGGAAAGGAGCTCGTCTCAAGCGAGGAAGAGATAATGTGAGTGATAATAGGGACAAGTTCATTAGTGATAGGTTTAATCATTTGCATACAAAGATTGTCATAACCGATAGCTTTAGTGGAAATAGACAAAAGGCATTTTTTTATGTCACCATCAGTAACTTTACTAAAATTAAAAGGAGAACACAGCGGCTTAGGAAAATTGGAGAGAAGATTAAGTGTAGTTGACTTAATAGAGTCATCAATAGAAATCGGAGGCTCAGAAAAGTGCCGGTTGAGTGCAGTCAAATCAAACGAGATATTAGAATCATTATGTGATTTGCCTATACCCAGAGTTCTAAGAAATTTCCACATCTGAGCGCAATGAGAATTTTCAACCTCATCATAAATATGTTTCCTCTTAGCATCACGACACATCTTACTACAGCGATTACGTAATTTTTTATATGTGAATAAATTTTCATTAGTAGGGTGCTTCTTATAACGCCTCTTAGCTTTATCTCTTTTGGACATTACTGCTTTTATAGACTCTGAAAGCCAGGGGGCTGGAAAGTGTTTAACCCTGACTCGCTTAAGTGGTGCATGAGTATCGAAAAGTTTTAAAATGAGGTGATTAAAAGCATAAACTTTATCATTAATATCTTCGGAATTTAGAACAGGGGACCAGTCAATATTATTTACATCATCTCGCAAACGCTCCAGGTTAATTGATTTAAAGCTTCTTAGGAGTAAGAATTTCGATTTGCGCCTAGGACGTTGAATTTTATAGGAGAGGAAGATAAGATCGTGGTAAGAGAAAGACGCAGATAGTTGACCATGCGAAGCAACCTGGTCAGCATCAGAAACAATAATAAGGTCTAAAAGAGAAGGGGTACTATTAGGCGAATGGTGAGTAGCAGAAAGAGGAAGAATATGTAAATTAAAAGATGACACCAGGGAGAGCAATTTTTTGCTACGAAAATCATTCTTCAACAGGCATGTGTTAAAGTCACCTAAAATAATGGTATTATCATAAAGCGGAGTTAGATTTACAAGTTTTTCTTCCAGAGAAGAAAAATAATTTATATTGCGAGAAGGGGGATAATAGACCCCAAGCAAAGTCCTAGAATGATTAATAGTAATTTCAATAAATAAATGTTCAGCAAAATTTGTGTACATATTGGGTGAATGATCAACTATTTTATAAGGAATGTCAGCTCTCAAATAGATTGCCACTCCACCATAACCTTTGCCGACCCTGTCATTACGTATAAGTTGAAAACCAGGGAGACAATACTGTACCGACGGAAGTGCAGGCTTTAGAAAAGTTTCAGAAACAAGAATGGCATCAACATATTTAGAATCAAAGGATGATAAAAGATCAGCGTAATGAGCATGAATGCTTTGAGCGTTAATATGGACTATATTAAGATTTTTACTATAATTACAGAATACGGCTACTAGTTGATCATGTAAATGAGTGGAATCATCGCTTAAGGCGCTTTTATATGTCTTATCGGAAGAGCTAGAGGAAGAGCAAGAAAAGTAACTATCATCAAATTCCAAAATATCACACATGCTAATCAAAACTATAACAGAAACTAAGCTATAACAAGATCAACAACAAAGATCAAATATATACTTGTATAATGTATAAAAAATAAATATTATATAAGTCTGGATATAATACCTACAATATAAATAATAATATGTTATGGAATATTATGAAACAGTAATTATATTAAAATTAAAATTAAATTGCCAACAATTATGCACTTAAAAAAAAAATTTTTTTTCTTTCATACCTGCCGGCAGTGGCATCGGTAGAATTTTATAATTACATAACTTACTTAAGACTAATTAATATACTAAAAAATATAAAAAAAAAATGCACAGTCTTACCATCAATAATAAGAAAGACAAATATTATCTACGGATCCTGTCTGGCAAAAAGACTGGTAGTATGTGCAATGAAATGACAGCATGACAGACAATAATAGCTGTCATTATGATTTATTAATCACCAATGTCATTGTGTCACATAATAAACAAAATTATGAAGGTAAATTATTAAAATATTAGAGATAACTACGAACTACGATGTTACAGTTAACACACAAAATTGAAGAGATGCAACACTATGCAAATGGAGACTACACAAAAATACAAATAAATTGTGGTAATTAAACACTAAGTTAACGTGAATACACTATCTCTTGCCTGCGGTGCCAGTACGTCGACTTTTGGAAGCTCCAGCTGGGTCCCTGACCGCGGTAGTTGTTTTCGACTTCGGCACAGGAGGCTCAACGATTTTATCGAGTTCGATCACCGAGCTAATGCGATGTCGAACGCCACCGCTACCCAGTACAAAAACAAAGCCTTCACTTGTCCAGCAATTCGATATTCCATATTTCCGTCGAGCTGCCATAAAAGCTTCATGTCGAGTCTTAGTTAAAAACTCCGAGAGAGTGATACCAGTCCCCTTCAAACACGTCTTAGCTTGCCAGATCTTGTTCTTCACCTCCAACTCACACAACTTAAACAAGATTGGTCTTGGTTTGTCAGAAGAAGAGGTATGGCCCATGCGATGGCAGCGAGATATATCTTTATCCGAGAAACCGGACAACCTGAAACGGTCAACAAAAGTCTTCACTAATACCTGTACAGTGTCCTCGTTCCTTTCCTCCGGAAGCCCATGAAGTAATAGAATCTTCCGCCGGCTCCGCATCTCCATATTATCCACCTGGTGCATCAACAGGCCTACCTGGTCTTGAAGATTGCGTAGGGCTGTCATGATAAATAATCTGTATGAGGAGAACTCGGATGTCAAATTGGAAATGGAGGCTGAAGGTGCTGCAGCATGAAGCTCACTTTGATAGATATCCATGCGCTGACTAAACATCTTCTGGAGTTGTGTTATTGACTCTTGAATGGCATCCATTTTGAAAAAATCTTGTGTAATGATAATGCAAGAAAATTGTGAGACTAATTTTTATTGACTAAGTTTGTAAACAGTAAGGATTTTACTGCCTGGCAGGTATAATGGTTAGTACATTAGTTTCCCATGTAGTAACAACACTATTGTAATGTTTTATATATTAAAAACTTTATTAAATTGGGAGACTTTACTAAAGCAATGTACTTATTGCACCTACCCACACACGAAAAAAAAATAAAGGTTTTTTGAAACCATGTGTTCATATTTCGCGAATTTAATAAATCAAATAAATCGTTTATTTTCCTTATGAACTCTACTGTTGCCTCAGAGTTTTGAAAGTCGTCGATATTAAGTTCATTAGCACAGAATTCAATAGCATCAGCAACTGAATTGCTAAATGTCTGGGCAACCAATTTCACCTTCATAATTTATTTACTGACATTTTCATGCAATCTTGTCAACTTGTTGCCATTTTCCTGTAAATCTACTAATAGTTTAATATATCCCCACGAAATAGTGTGACTGTGTCGATCAGAAATTGTTCCCTTTTGACCTAATGCATTTCTTACGAGCTTGAACATATGTAAAGGATCCGGAAATATCACCACTTTTTTATCGCCGATGCAAAATGATGGATCAATTTCTTCATCTTCTAACTTACATCCTAAAATTTTTGCCATTGCAAAGTTCGTGGGGCATCCATCAAAAGTTACTGATATGACATCAATTCCACATTCAACGTGCACCTTTTCGATGCACGTCTTCACAAGATTAGCTTTCTGGTTTGCAGATATACCGTTTATCAAGAAGTAGTCTAATTGTATTTTCCATGATCCATTCACACACGTTAACATTAAAACTAGGACATCTTTGGCTAATTGGTCGCTGTTTAAATTATTGCCACAGTCAACAAATCCTACACAGTCTTTGCCATCGAAACAAACAGACTTACGAATGGCCATCTCATCAAAAGATAAGGCACAAAGTAGTTTACGCGAAGGATTTTTTAAACTGTTAGCTCTATTAAGGAGTTTTATAGCATAAAATGACTCTTTGTTAAAACCCGGATTACCATCTACGCATTCATACCACCGTGATAATGTACGTAGGTGGGGAAGGCAAGTGTTAAAATATTTACGTACGTAATCGTAGGCCCTAGGGCTAACAAAGTGCAGAGTCAAAGCAAATTTTCTTAGTTCCGCAGAATATTTTCTCTTTGCAGTCTCTTTACCAATTAATCTTTAAAAAAATCCTCATTCTCAGAACCAATAAAAGACACCATATGTGCGGATTCTTCACTAATCATTAAACGAGCTTTCAATTCTTCTATAATAGTCGAAAGTGCTGCAGTTTTTTTTCAACCTTAAGGCTGTCGACCTCAACACTGCAATCTTCTTTTTTCTTGTGTCACCTAAGCGGGTTTTCTCGCACAAAATTTTTCTTAGCTTTCATTTACGAGGTGTCTCAACCAATTCACTAGAACAGCGGTTCTCAAACTTTTTTGGTCACGGAACCCTTTTGACAAGCAAAATACTTGACGGAACCCTACAATAAAACAATAGTTTTTAAAAGTGTATTCTTTATTATATAAGCATAATAAAAGTACAATGTAACAGTTACTAATTATTACTTACTTTACCACATGGCAAGTACAATAATAGAAGATATTAAAAATGAAAAAATTTTAACTAATGGGAGGTATGAAACTGTTTTTTATTTTTCATCAATTGGTTGATATCAGGTTTGATAGAAGACATTTAAAGTCTCATAGGCTAGGTGGCTGCATAGGTTGAGAATCCTGTTTCGCACAAATATGTTGTTGGGAACGGGAGAAGAATATTCAGAGCCATTCTGCCAAGCATTGGATATTCATCACGGATTCTGCACCAAAAATCGTTGATAGGCGTCGTTTTGAACAGTGACTCCATACTTGTGTCTGATGACATTTCTAAAAGAGATTCATATATCTCGTTTGACATGCTTTCGGGCTTTTGCAAGTTGGGTAAAAAAGGATTATGAATCCATGAATTCAGCTTCATTTTTGTATTCTGTTCTTCGGGAAAATACTTTCCAAAAAAGGCGCGCATCGAAGTGAGATATTGGACCAATTCTTCAAATACATCATCTTGAAACATGTCTGAGTCGTTATCGCTAACAAACTCACTGAGTGACGTAAAGCATTCTATTTCTCTCTTACCAACGCAAATAATCGAAAATGTAATTTTCTTTTGAAGGCAGTTATTTTGTTATAGGTCTGGAACACTGTTGTCAGTTTACCTTGCAATGATAAATTCAATTCGATCAGTTTTTGAAAGATATCCGCCATAAAATATAATCGGAACAACCAAGTTTTATCATACAAACGGTCTTTCAAATTAAAAGAAACTGTATCTGCTGAAAGAAATATTTGTAACTTGGCTCTAAGTTCAAATAGCCTGGTTAAAGTTTTACCCCGAGACAGCCATCGCACTTCTGTATGGAGCAGCAGTGTCTTATGTTTGCTGCTATAATTTTCACACAATAATGAGAACAATCGGGATTGTAGTGATCGTGATTTGATAAAATTAATTATTTTTACCGCTTCATCCATAACTAATTTTAGATTTGACGGCATTATTTCATCGCAAGTGCTTGTCTATGCAGAATACAATGGCTGGAACTACAATTAGGCGCTTTACTTTTTATTCGTGATACTGCTCCTGCTGTTTTACCTGTACCTTGGCCCCATCTGTACGAATGTCAATGCAATCGTTCCAACTAAGATTATTTTCTTTAAAAAATATGTTTATTTTATTAAAAATTTCTTCCCCGGTAATGTTTGTGGGCAGCGGTGAACACATAAGCATGTCTTCTTCAAAAGAACGTTCATATGGATATCTCACGATAACCAGCAAGATAGCCAAACCAGTGACATCAGTTGACTCATACATTTGCAAGGCGAATCGTGTTTTTTGTAGACGTGCAACTAGTTCTTGTTTGACGTAGCTTGCCAGATAATGGATTCGCCGTGAAACAGTATCGTTTGATAGCGGTACAGTAGAAAGATGCTTTGCAGATTTTTTATCGAGCATACATTTTGTTATGTCTAACACACATGGCTTTATTAAATTCTCAGCGATAGTGTGCGCTTCACTTGCTTGTGCAATGCGATAGCTAACTAAATATGATGCCTCCGTGGCCTTTTTATTGATAGTTTGTGTTACATGCATCATATTTTTTTGACTTTCCAATAACTGTTTTTTTTACGAACAAAAAATTATTTATTATGGTCTTTAGACGCGGGGTGTACAGTTTCTAAATGTCTGCGCAATTTGGCAGGTGCCATGGAACTATTAGGAAGCAGTTTACTACATAACATGCAGAGAGGTGAGCCGTTGGAATGAACAAATCCGAAACTGTTATATGATTCATCATACTTCCTTTTTTTCGTCTTTGAAACCGTGGAGCTTGACGTCGTGGCATCATCCTCTGAACCGGTAATTGCTGTATTCTCCGCGCGTACTGCTTTTGAACATTCAGCGTCATTAGAAGATGTTGTTGCAACACGTTTAACGCCTTTAAGCCAACGTTCCATTCTTCTTTATTAATAGTGTTACACGTCAGGATGGTGGGGTCAAAATAATGCACAATCGTTACTGCGTTTATGAGACAAAGTTTAGTGATTTAGTCCAAAGAAGAAATGTACAAAACTGATACAATCAGAATACAGCAGGCAGTAGAACAATGAACACTAGTTTCATATCACATTTAAACTCCGCAATTCGCTAGCCAGCTTGTCAGTAGGTAGGTAGGAACTTATCGCTCCGAACGCTAATCGTCAACTGACTGACGAGGCGCGACGCGCGATCGCCGCTTTTATACTTAGTAAATAAAAAAAAATCAAAAGAGTATTGGGTGCATCCTTTGTTAGAAGAACGGAGGTCAAAGGGAATGTTTAAAATATTTTATGAAGACGTTAGAAAATATCCTCGTAAATTTTTTAATTATGCAAGAATGTCTGTGAGTTCGTTTGATGTCTTATTGTGTCTTCTAAAACCACATATAACTGGCATAGATACAAATATGCGACCATGTATTTCTCCGGAAGAAAAACTTTTTATAACACTAAGGTAAGTGACAATTCAAATAAAATTCATTCCTAACATTTATTTTTTACGGGATTTTAACACAATTTACATTACATTCCCGGACACATCTATCGGCCAAACCTAGTGTTTAAAGTGTTGACAATCCCTAGCTAAAAATAAATGTTAAGTGGTGCAATAAGTTTTTATGCAGTTTTTTACGAAAACGATGGCCAGTAAATCAGCTTCACACCTGCAAAAACTTATTGCTCTTCCTAACATTTATTTTTAGCTGGTCTCCAGTCAAAACTTAAAACTCAAGGTGGGCCGATAGATGTGTCCGGGAGTGTGTTTAGAGTTACAGATAATGCCATCCACGAAGATGCGCGATTAAATTTAAATAGAGCATCTTTCGTGCTGTTCATAATACTCTTTCCTGATTAGTCAATTTCTATTAGTGTGCGTTTGCAATCATCGATAATTAGCGTGTATCGACAGATGTTTAACACATGCGGAAGATAGCACACATGCATTTGAACCAAGAGTGGGGCGCGTCTTCGTGGATGGCACTATCTGTAAGTCTACTCTTCGATGACATAATTTAAAAATATACGGTAAATAATTATAAAACATGTATTTTTTTAAAGTACTTAATGAAATCAATATTATAAACGAACGCACAACAAAAGGAAATATTCAAAATAGATCCAAAATGTCAGAATCTTGCGAGGTATTTGAAGTGACAGTAGAAAATCGCGACTCTGGGCGTTCACGTTCTGAAGGAGTTGAAGTTGGTAGCGTATAATAATGTTGTGCTTCAGGGCGTGATTGTTGACTTGGTGCTGTTGAACGCCCGGCCTCCGGTGTGAAGTAACCACGCTCATACTCGTACTCATTAAAATTTCGCCACATTGTGTTTGGATATATATTATTTTGAGTAGAGGATCGGAATGATTCGATTACACTGATTAATTGAATTTTCGCAGCTGACTTTTTGTGCTCCGGAATTGCCCTAAATGATGATAATAGGGACATCAGGAACATTCTGTCCTCATCTTGTTCTTCTTGAAAGGATTGCGATTCAACTATATTTACAAATTCAACGTTTTATCAAAAGCTAATGAATAATGATTTGCAAATACCCGAACCTAAGCCCATTTCATCGACAAACCCTATACCAGTACCGTTTGTTATTGTGGGTGACGAAGCATTTGGACAAACTGACAAAATTATGCGACCGTTCGGTGGATCAAATTTAACAACAAAGAAAAAAATATTTAATTATAGGCTTTCTCGTGCACGACGCCATATTGAATGTTCATTCGGCATATTAGCAAACAAGTGGCAGATTTTTCACAGACCTACCAACGTGAATTTAGATCTAGTATCATGCATCATCAAAACATGTTGCGCTCTTCACAACTATGTCCGAGAAAGAGACGGATATAAATTTGAAGATACCCTGAGCATTCCTGGCTTTGAAGAAGTCCCAAACGGTTTCCAAAGAGCTGCGACGTGGTGCATCATACAGAGATGTATTTGCTGATTACTTTACAACTGAGGGTCAATTATCTTGGCAGATGAGCAGTATTAATTAATAAAAAATAAATGGCATTTCTTACTTACCTGAGTTTTTTTTTCTTCGTCTGATAATTCTTCACCTCCAAATAACTCCACTATTTCTTCCCACTGTTTTTTCTTCAAATCCCGATTAGCATATTCCTCACTTTGTAAATCCCAAATAGCTTTTCGGGATTGTATTTCCGATATAAATTTATCCGTGTCAAAACTCATTGTGCGCGGCCGTCCGGTCGTTACGACAGTTGCTCGCAGTGTGAATGCTTTCAATGAAAGCAATTTGAAACCGTGCTCCTATTGGTCGCCGGCGACCGGCAGTTGCCTGTGCGTCGCCACTGCGCGGCGAGTCGCCGAGTCGCCCGGGCAACCGGTGACTAGTGCGTAAACACCTATTTAAACTATACAATATTACAGCCGTCGACAACTGAGTCGCCGGCGACTAGTCCACAGTGCGTAATAGCTCTTTATGTTTTTGAAGATAGAGCCGAAAGTCGCTTGTTCAAAGCTATAGCGTCTAATTCAGAGGCGGCTTTTATCAAAGGGACTGCGCGCTCACAAGTATACGCGCGGCGGGCGGAGTCAAAACGTTCGACCAGTGACCAGAGAGAGGATTTTTTTTTCTAATTTCTTGCGGAACCCTTAGGGCGCGTTCCCACTATGTCGTAACGACTAATTTATCGTTCGACACTGTCGTCTCTACCTGTTCCCATTATAACGATTGTTTGTCGTCAACATTTTTTATCGTTTAGCGACTGTCGTATCTAGCTGTTCCCATTGGATCGCTCAGATCGCTCGCATCATCAGCAAGCTACAAATCTAGTCGCCTCTGCGTTCGCTTGGTGATTACTAGTGCGTTTACTCTCCTGAGTTCAATGGACGAAGATGAAATTTTAATAATGTATTACTTTTTGAAAAGAAGGAAAATGAAGCAAGAAATGAAAAGAAAGTACTGGGTACATCCAATGTTAATGAAAAGAATTCCATTAGGATTACGTCAGAGTTATATAGAAGAATTAAAAAGTGATGATGGAAAGTTTTATGAGTATTTAAGAATGACTGTCTCCACCTTTGATAGCCTACTGGCACGACTTGCAGACAATCTTAGAAGAGAAAACACACATTTCAGAAATTGTATAAGTGCCGAAGAAAGACTAGTGATAACTTTAAGGTAAGTAAATAAAATGAAAATTCTTTATTAATGTATACATTTATTTATTTAGAGATTTATTTTAGAGTTACACGTTTTATAAATAAAGACATCTTTAAATTATATATTGTCAAAATTAAAAGAATCTTGTGTGCTATCAGACAAATTAGTATAGACTGAATTTGGTGATGCAGCCGGTTCCATAACTTGATTGCTAGTCGAAGTTGATGCACCTGGATCTTGTGTAAAATATCCTGTCGGTTGTGATAAGTGGTTTTGGTAGTCACCATAGTTTGCATAAGTATCGTATAAATTATTACGAAGGCGTTTCTTTTTAATTTTTTCAATCAGTTGCATAATACCCGTTTGGAATTCAAAATTGTCATCGTTGTCGAATGATGCCAAAGATGGTAAAATTCCTTTTTTAAAGGACACATGTGGGTGTTCTTGATTATTTAATTTATAATCTAGAAATTGTGACATTTTATCATCTAATGTGTCAGTCTTAGTTTTCTTTTGAGTAGAAGGTGCTGCATCACTTAATGTATTAGAGATAGTATTATTAGGCTCATTAGATGAATCAGAGGTCATACGGGGCTCAGTAACTTTTAATAAAAAAGACAGCTGATTCTTATAAACATACGGCCTAGTAGTTTTTGCGCCTGCACCAGATCGCTTTTTTTCTTTTTCATTTTTCAGGGATCTCATAAATGCATCTCGAATATGTGTCCACTTTGTAGATATCTGTGTAGCTGTAAAAGTAAAATAGACTTAAAATTAAAATTTGTTTGTGTATAGATTTAACATTATATGTATTAACATATAATCAGTCTAATATGTAGTCAAATTATTGTTCACGCAAACATCTGCACGTTTTTCAGAGTTTAAAAAACTATACTAAGATCGAGTTTTTCCACTAGTATCCCCGGATGTTTCCGTGAACAAGTAAGGGACTACGTATTAGACTGATTATATGTTTATACATAATTATAATGTTAGGGCATTGGTCCTCGAATATAACCGTATTATAATAGCTGTTGTATTTATTTACAGATATTTGGCGTCGGGATGTTCGTTTAAACAACTGCATTATAATTTTAGAGTGGGAATGTCAACCATCAGCAAAATAATCAAAGAAACGTGTTCTGTTATTTGGAGCGTATTAAGTGCAGAATATTTAAAGTTGCCCAATACCGAAGAAGAATGGAAAGCGATCGCTGAAGCTTTTAAAACGAAAGCAAATTTTCCTCATTGCCTCGGTGCGCTGGACGGCAAGCACACAAGGATTACAAAGCCAATAAATAGTGGTTCTATGTTTTTTAACTATAAGGATTATTTTTCTTTTATTTTATTTGCGATTGTTGATTCAGAATACCGTTTCATTTACGTTAGTATTGGTTCATACGGAAAAGAGTGTGATTCATCTATCCTAAAACAATCCAATTTTTGGAAGAAACTAAATGATGGTACTTTAAATATACCAAGACCCACGCCATTACACGAAAATATGCAAGAAGAAATACCATATGTATTTGTTGGAGACGAAGCCTTTACATTGTCACAGAATTTATTGCGACCTTATGGCGGTACTCATTTAGACAATAAGAAAAAGATATTTAATTACCGTCTAAGCCGCGCGAGAAGATATGTTGAATGCACTTTTGGTATCTTATCCAATAAATGGAGGATCTTGCATAGACCATTGGATGTATGTGCAGAAACAGCTATTGAAGTTGTAAAGGCTTGTACGGTATTACATAATTTTTTAATAAAAAAAGACGCTATATACTTGGAGAATACCCCAACCGTTATGCCCCTGGTAAACATGCCTGCAACACAGCTGCGTTCAAACGAAGGTGGTGGAAACGCAGTGCGCTTACAATTTTCCGACTATTTTGTATCTGAAATAGGCTCCGTACCTTGGCAAAACATTACAGCACATGTATCATAATAAATAAAAAGTTTCAGAAACTTACCGAAATCTTTTCTTTCCTTTTCCTCCAACTTGTCAAAATTAGGTTCAAAAACGCAACAAATTTCTCTCCACGCGGCTAATTTCAAACCTTTGTCTTTATAAATGTCTAAAGTTTTGTCCCAAAGGACAGCCCTTTGTTCCACAAGTGGAATTAAAACTTCCGGTGTTATATTATTAGCCATTGTTATACGTCCACCATGCGCAGGAGTCTGACAAGTTCTAACACGCACAAAGCAAACCGAGTACAGACGCGAGGGGCGCGCGGGTGCGAGAGGGTAGGGAAAACACGTGTTCGTCTACATAGAGTTGCCGTCCACGATTTTATCGTTTTACGACTGTCGTGCTTGCCGTTCCCACTGTCACGACAAAGTGTCGTCACTGCAAAAACTGTCGTAGACGACAGTAAATTGTGTCGTTCTAAATGTGAACACCTCCATTTAAACATATAAGCCACGACACTTAAAACTACACGATTATCTGTCGTCACGACACGGTGGGAACGCGCCCTTACAGGGATATCGCGAAACTATCACTGCACTGCACTAAAAGGAAGAACGCTAGGTATGTTGTATTCACCCTGCAATTATAAAAAATTCACATAAACGTTTTGATACTATATATTAATTATTTATGTTATTATTTCAAACAGGTATTTGTTTTTTAACTTATGGAAGGATTCTTAATTTTCGTAGCAACTTCCTTGGATCCTTTAGTATTATGCAGACAACATTTTTGTTCAAAAATGGTGTTTAGGCCCAAAAATGGTCATTTGAGACGGCATCCAATCGCCTTCGACTTAGCGAATCGCCCGATGGTGTTAGGTGTCACGCGCGTCGCGGGGAGGGGGCATCGGTATGCAGCTTCCCAGCGTTTGGCGCTCGTGGGCGAAAACAGTAGCTTGAGAGCAGCGGTACGGCGAATTAGCGTATTTTGGTGACCGCTGCATATATTTCGCGCGACCAGGTTTTTTGGGTTTATGGTCTACATTTTTAGTATTTGTGCGCGTTACTTCGCTACTGAATTGTGGTTTCGTGAAGACCGCCTCGGTTTAGTTTTGTCTAAGTTGTGCGTTCGCGACAAGAGGCTTATTTTGAATTTGAGTGATTAGAGTAATTTCGTTGCAATTGTACCGTCGCGTTAAGAGCCTTTTGTGTGTTGACTCTTTAGTTGCTTTGTGTGTCAGCTAGGTTGATTTTGATTTTGTTTGATTTTGATGAACGTTGAATTGGTCGACTTTGAAGTTAATTATATGTACAGTAAAGTTGATAGACTGAGATAGTGAAATGAAGAAAGAAGTTGTCACTTGGTGACACCTGCTGAAGTGATGCAGCATTGTGGGGCAGCATGGGACCAGCCCGCTGCCCGGTCACCTCAGCTGGGCCAGGTCACATAAATATACACAACACTAAACACCACTTTACATGCACCTACACTACTTACGGCCTGACCGAGCCTTGGTGCGGTCTTAGCTTCGGGTCCAGATACGTACTATTTATTTACCTAGCCTTCTCCCTGTTATGTAGTATGATAGGTCAATTGTCCATAAGGCTATTTGGGCCCGAACTCTCGGCTGCCCGTCGAGGAGGCTACTATGGGCCCTAGCCAAGGCTACCTTTGCAGGGGCAGCTGGGGACCGTAACAAATGCCATTGGAAATGTTTATAAAATAAATCTCATAAAAAAATTCCTTTATAAAAACAATAGCTGCTTTAAAGAACCAAAATTAAACTATTAAATTGAAATCTTTCAATTAAACTACAAACCTTTGCATCATACCACTATAACATCAGTAGAGTTTATTTTTGATACGATGCATTAAGGTTAACAGTAAAAACAGGTTGATACAAAAAGGTATAGCAATAAACAGCAATTTTCAACAAAATGTATTTATCGATTTTGTAACTCCTGTATAGTTAAAAAATAGTACCTCCTACAAAAATTAATAAAGGGATTCACTAACGCTTACCTCATGCACTGGTTCAGAAAGTTTTGCTTTTTTATTAGTACTAGGTTGTTCTACAGCGATTTCCTGAAAACAAAATTAGCTTTTAAAAATAAATTTAATAAATATTCCATAATATTTTATTTCATAACTAAAAATGTCCTACTTTTAAGTAAAGAATATTTACTATAATATACATGCTATACCAATACAAAGTCATTGGAGGGCAGACATCTTTACAGGTATCTTATTTTTTATTGCACATTACGATAAGCAAAAACTATCGCATTGGATGTAGTTACACAGATATCATTTAAATTAATAAAGATAAATATTTGAATGTTTCTACATTAACACTAAGTACTTACCTCCAGTCTCCATTCAACACTTTTTGGTATGTTAATAGTACTAGGACGAGGTTGCTGAACTGTACTTTCCTAAAAATAAAAGTAAACTTAAGTAGGTCCAGAAAATTAATATTGTACCTATTCAGTTATTCATCAATTACTCTTACATCAGTTACTCGATTTTAGTATAACTATGAGCCTTCTTACCAACTATTAAAGAAACCGTGCGGTAATTTCAATTAGGGACCAATAAAAAGAAATATATGGGCTAGTTTCTTTGCGGACACAATTTTATTACTCACAATGCTGTTGAAAAACGACGTATGACACTCGTACTCTATTAAAAATAACATAATCGGCTGAAAATTAAGCACTGGCCTGTGGCTTGTGCGGCTTGAGCCGCAGGTGAGTGCTTAGTGCCCAATGTCAGCCTCATACATAATTTTCAACTAAGCGTACTTGTATCATAATGTAAAGTTGCAGCCTATTTACGTCCCACTGCTGGGCACAGAACTCCTCTCATTTCTGAGAGGGTTTTAGGGCAAGGAAATGTCCGCTGCGCTGCCCAAATGCGTGTTGGCGAACTTCACATGTCTTCGAAATAATTTTTTTCTTATTTCTCAGACATGCAGGTTTCCTCACGATGTTTTCCTTCACCGCCGAGCACGTGGTAAATCAGCACTTAAAATTGCAATTAACAATTTCATTGGTGCCGGCGGGGATCGAACCCGGGTTGCTCGAGTACTGTGAAGCTTAGAGCGAGCGCTAACCATCTGAGCTACCACGGCACAATATCATAATACTACTATTGTACTATTATTTTACCTGAAGTCCTGGTTCGAAGATTTTCAGTTGTTTCGTAGTACAAGGTCACTCATCAATAATATCCTGAAAAAATAAAAAATGAGCATGTAGAAAAAATATCCCTATAAAATTCAAAATTACAACAATAGTTAACAACACAAATTCAAAATCAAAATAGGTTACTCACTGGAATAAAAAATGTTGGAATGGCATTCGGCAACAAATATGTCCTCTTGTGCGTTTTACGAAAATAACGCGGCTCAAAATGTTTCGAACATATGCGGTCATTCTTCTCAGGTTGCCATTCCTTTCTCCCAGTAGCTACAATCCACATATTTATAATGTTTGCTTCTTTAGGAAATCTAAAATAAATAAATTATATTGGTAATTAAATTAAGGTTAAAAAATTTGTTCAGTCGTTAAGAAATTAAGGACATTTTTTGCCAAGCACTGGTATCCATGTAGTGATCATACAGCAAATTTGAAACGACGAAAAATAAATGGCGACCTTTAAATAAAAGAACGCTTCTTAATTTAGTGGTATAAAACGAAACAAAGTTGTAGGTTATTTTAGTAATTTATTGTATATTTTCTGATAATTATACACTAGAGATAACGAAAATTAATCAGCTAATCGATTTCTATAGACAATTTTATTTTTATGTTTGGTACTTTTCGTTCTGGTTGGTTTTTACAACCTAACACAACAACGCACCATAATTTCACATAAACTGTGTTTAAAACAAAAAACTTTAAACTTTACGTAACTCAAACGTCAATAATTTAGCAAATAATCACATAAAACCACCAAAACAGTTGACGACAGCCGTTTGTTTGGAACATAGTACCTTTGTTCCAAACAAAGGAAACCGCATATGGTGAAAGAAACAAAAAAATTTGTTTGATTCGCTTGCTCTTAATACAGATAAATAGGTGGCTGATACGATCCCGTGGCATAAAAAGACAGTGCAATTAAGACCTAAAATAATTATAAAAAATAATGAGTATGCATTTTTTCTAAAACTACATTAAATATCACTTAGTAATGTTTTACTAGTGATGAATAATTTAACTAATACTCAACCTTGGTTTCGATCGACAAATCAGTAAATTTAGCAGGCTTTGTCATAAAAGGTCTTAAATCATCACAAAGTTCCAACACAAAGTTTTTGCTGAAGCGATATCTTTTTACGAATTCATCGTCATCAATCGAAAACGACTCCATTTGGCTGCGTAATATTGCCCTTTCAATTTTGTCTTCCACAATTTTGCTTTCATTGTCCTCTTCGAGGAACTCAAAAATTTCGTATTCATCAGACATTGAAATTAATGCACAAATATTAGAGAACTTTAAGACGTACATGTAAATAACATATTACTTTTAAAGCGAAAAACCTAATTTAGCATGCTAAATAGGAAAACTTTTTGAAATAATAAAACTAGTTTTATTTTACGATTAACAGGTTTATCCAATGACGTATTATATATAGACACGTCATGAACGAACATCGCGGCGCTTAAAAACGGCGAAAATACTAGAACTACTTATACGCGTGAAGAAAGAGAAAGAAAAAAGTTGCGATGTATGACATCGCACGGCGGGATGCCTGTTGCTAGAGGGAAACAAATAACATCTTCAGTTGCTCATTGGTCGAGCGCATGAGTGATGTAGCTATCAGAGGCATATGGGGAGAAAAGGACATCCGATTTTCTAGAGTTTATAAAATAGTTGATATACCGTATATATATTAATCTTTAAAATATGAATGCTGTATTCCGCAACAGTAAGTAATTAATTATTGTTACATATTAAATTAAAAAATAAAACAAAATATCTTTATAAACATAAAAAAAAAACTTTTATTTAATAATGAAAGAACATTAACATTCTGATAGGCAATCGAACAGTACGGTAATCGAAGTCGTATATTACTGACTTATGTTGCAGATACATATTTTTAAATCCCTTCAAACAAACTTAATTTATTTCTTCTTTGCCTCTTATAATTTGATTCAGAGCTTTTGTGTGCGAAATGTAGGCGAACATTGATAAATTTCTCAATGACCGCGCGAATACGGTGCACTCTATGATCAAATGTGGGATGTTGCTCTAAAGAATGTTGATGTAAAGAACCAAATACGTCATTGGAGCTGATAAACGACTTTAAAATACGGTTTTTTAAAATTTGGATATCTTTGTGATCGGGAAGGATAATGTGACCCATTTCTTTAATGTAGTTTTTAATTATAGATTCTGACTTTTTGGAATACATCCTCACTCGGGAAACATAGTCCACCAATATTTTTTAAAATAATCAATTTATGAAACCACAATTTGTTATTACAATACAGACTATCGGTGCATGTCGAACGTTTCAATACTGAAGCCAGTTTTCTGGATACCCATCCTGAAATATAACCGATAATCTGTTCAGTGGTTTTTTTAATGCTTTCTTGATTTAACATTGTCGAAAACACTTCGACATTTGTGTTAATAGCATTTTCTACAGCAGTTGCATTTATTAACCCAGTGTCATTCTCTATAGACTCAATCTCCTCATCCATAGTTCTTCTACTTACTGTAGAATTAATGTTGTGAACTGCAGACGAACACGTTAATACAGTTATGTCTTCTAATGATAGGCAGTTTCCTAAAAACGAAGATTTCATTTCCAGGTGTTGAAGGATTTTTTTGAAAATTGCCTTAAACTGGATACCGTTTGGATTATTGTTATAACCTCCATGTCGCCTGATAGCACCGAACAACATTTCAATGTGATCTTGAGACAACCTGTAAGTTGCGATGTATGGCAAACGTTGTCCTTCGATCAAAGTTGTGTATAGATGTTTTAAATTTTTGTATACAAATGAGAAAGCCTAAAAAGCCTGTTTTATTTTTAGATTCAACATTTTTTTTCTTAATTATTTTTATGGTGATTCGTTTACGAACCTCGCGTCTATATTTAATAAAAATGTAAAGATTCAATATATAAAGTTTCGCTTTTTCTAGAAAAGCTATGATGTTATTGGCATTTTTTTTTTTGAGAAAATGGTTTTTTTACGCCGTACAAATCCGATGATTTAGAGTTAAAAACATCAAATAAATTACTAAAAATTTCTATAAACTCTACCGTCTCTTTAGTGTCCACGAAAAGGGAAGATGTTAAAATCTCGTCACACAATTTGAGAGCATTTGCAACACTCATGCTCATGATTTGTGTTGCCAATTTGACTTTCATCACTTCATTTCTAAAATAAATGTGACGAGGGGTGATTTTGTTAGCAAAATTAAGTCCAACATTTTTTTGAAGCTTAACTAAATTTTCTAATAACTGCCAGCGAATCGTCCTTCCACTCCCGTCAAATAATTGTCTTTTAGATTCAAATTAATTTCTTACTAATTTAATCATGTGACAAGGGTCAAACATAATTGCAACATCTAAATCACATTCCGGGTGTCTGAATATTGTTTTAAGTTGTGATGGTTGTTTAAGATCACAACCTAATAAATTAGCTGCATTTATATTAGATGCACAGCCGTCAAATCTTATGGCTACAATGTTAACTCCCACACGGTAGCATTCACTTAGACATGTTTTTAGTAAATTTGCCCGAGAGAGTCCGTTAACAAGAAAATATGCTACTGGGATTTTCCAACTTTCGTTCATACACACTAATATAAAAACATATGCCTGAGTCGCTATTTCACACGATTTTGCTGATCCAGCACCAAAGTCCACGATACCTGCAGTCTTTTTTCCTGTTCACGTAGTTTGGTGACCAAGAGCCATCTCGTCTGCAAATAACGTGCACAATATTCGCTGGCCACTATATTTATGTTTCTTTTCTAAAACATCTAACGCTTGTTTATTAAACCCAGGATCACCCGAGCTGTTTTCGTACCACTTACCTATGACACGAGGATGTGGTAAAGATCCATTAAATATCTGTCTTACATATTTGTAGGCAGCTACGGAATAATAGTGCAGGGTGACTGCAAATTTTCTTAACGCTGGGGTATATTTTTGACGATAGCCCTTAATCTTGCTATTTTGAGTCTTAAAGTGAGTTGAGTTATAAATTCTACTGTTTCGGCTTTAAGATTCAGTTCATTGATCTGGTCAACAGTAAAAAAAATTTTTTTTTTGGAGCTCAGAAACTAACTGTTTTAAGTTATTGCATTTTTCTTTTAGCCTTTTACTTTTTTTTTACTAAATTATAATTCTTAAACTGTAACTTGCGTTTTTCTAAGGAAAGTTTACTAATCTTTTTCTTCAAAATAGCTTTCCTTGGCGTTTCAAAAATTGAACCTTCTTCTGCCACTTGAACATGTTCCAAACTTGTTGGTGATGAAATAATATTTTGTTCTTTTTGCTAAAAAAAAAAGTATAAAAAATCCGGTTATTTCATGAAAACCAATACTTTGAAATATTGTGTTTAAAAATGACGTATAATTTTACAATAATAATAGGAACTGCAGCCTTTTTTATGCTTCGATAATTTTTCTTCGTCACATATATATCGCTAGCTGAGAAATGCTTTGAGCAAACTTTATTATAGGGCGTTGGTAGCCAATCGTTTTCACGTCTTTGAACCCTTATTATGTTAAGCCACTTTTCTTTTAGTAGCCCATCTCTAGGCAATCTAAAATAAAAAGGAAAAGGATAATTAATATTCATGACATAACAAGTACATATTATATTCAAACAATATTATAAAAATCTATCAAAAAAAAAAAAACACTAGTGTATCCCAACCTCCCCTAACAGCAAGTGACTACTAGCTGCATGCGCCAGCCGCCATTAGACGGCGTCGTCGAATAAAATGAAATGAAAATAGGTAGTTTTGTGAACTTACGCATGAAATGACACATTTTTGTCTTTAGCTTTTGGGGTATAATTTGTACATCGTCTGAAAACACACGACGGCATGTTTTCTTTATATTTTGCACAGGTTTACACACACGAATCACGATATAATAAATTAAAAACAAACGTAGCGTCGCGCGACAGGTTGGTGCGTGACTAAGCGCGATGTGGCCAATTGGCTTCATTTCATGTTGCCATTTTAGAGTGCGTACAACGTATCTATAAGTTTATACATCATTGGGTTTATCTATAATCAAAAACAAATGAATATGTATTCTCAAAATAAAAATGACGAATATTCAATGAGATCAATTTTTTTAAAGATATTTACGCTTAAACATAAAAAAACTATTAAAAAAAAAAACGAAATAATCAAACTTCTATAAAACTATTAATGTTTATCTTTAGAAAGTTCTTCTATAGCGCTAAATTAAAAAACAACAAGATCCCGTGGATCGATAAGGCACAAATCAGTCTCAAAGTTGACCCTAAGAGCTCTGCCTCATTTGGCCGCCATGGCGACGTCGCCGGCGTGGCAAGTCTGGCTACTTCTGGCAACCGAAGGTCGCCATGTCGAGTGGCAACGTCGCAGAAACATGGAAAAAGAAAAGAAGAAAAAAAGGAAACTATGGGTACTCGTACATCCCTTTATATCCGATCCAAGCCGAAGTGGTGTTTTTTTAAAACTATATGGTGAGATACGAAAATATCCTGAAAAGTTTTTCAATTACACGAGAATGTCAAAAGCATCTTTTACGAATTATTAAATTTATGTAGAAATTATTTAACTGAACAGGATACGATATTTAGAAAATCGATAAGTCCGGCAGAAAAACTATTTGTGTCTTTAAGGTAAGCAGTATTATAATCAAATTTATGAAAATTAAATATTTAAAGTTAATCATATATATCTAAAATAGAGGAATCTTCTGAAACATTTGTCATATTTGACGGTGGTGTGCTAAACGCTGCGCTAGATAAAGACTCAGTGTTGTATTCCATCATTGATAGGGTTTCTCCGCGAATAGTAGAATATCCAGGGTGATAACTTCTGAACTGAATGTGATATGGGTATGATGATGACTGAACGTAATTTGGGGATGGTGATAGTCGGGTATATTGTCGTCATGATGACATCTGAAAAATAGGGAAATTTCGAGATCTTTTGATATGTCTCGTAGTTCGGCCGTTATGATAGTGAGTTGTAAATCTTATAGGCCAGTGAACATTGTTCGTCAAGCGTCTCGAGGGCAAATCAATGCGTTGTGAACATGGATTCACCTCGCGACGATACCGAGGCACTTGAAAGAGGTGTTTATCAATAATTTCTTGAACTGAAAAACAAATGATGTTTCCATTCGTTACAAGATTGTTCAAAGTGGATTCGAGAATTAAGAATGGAAAAATTTAAAAGCCTCTTGAAGAACTTAATGTCCCACTTTTCACCACGTTTTCTCTCCAATAAATATGGTTCCAGCATTTGATCTTTACGGTCACTCCCACCTACATTCCTATTATAATCAAGAACCAACTGAAGTTTCCACTGAGGCTGGTGGATGGTGCCAGCCCTTGCTCGGTGCCATGGTACGTACTGATTTAACGGAATCCTTTTCTTATCCTGATACGCCATTGTAACAACGCTACCCGAGTGCCCTGCCAGGAACTGGCCTGCCTGTAGCTTGCAGAGTGACACCAGAGATGGCACATTCTGACGATTGGCTCGTAGTGTTCCCACGCAATCGGTTGCACGTTTCTTCAAAAACTCGCCAGGCCCTCCTGAACTGAACCAATTGGCCCTAAAAAGAGTATAAGCCTTTGTCGACCAGTGCCCAAATGAGTTTGAGTACAGTTTTAGTACTCACGTTAAGTGACGATGGAAATCGAGGATCGGGGTTATTTTTCTTTCCTGTGTAGACGAAAAACGACCACATGTATCCCATAGCCGACTCGCACAGTTACAAAGTTTTTATTCCGAATCGAGGCGCTTTAGTTTTTATATATTGTTTGAATGAGTTTACCTTTCCATATAGTTAAGCTCTCGTCATTACATATTTCCTGTTTAGGGATATAAACGGATTGAAAGCTCTTCAAATGATTTATAATTGGTTCAATAGGAAAGAGAGGGTGAGAATCAGGTGTGTACGTGTTGCGTTATTTACAAAATGAAAAGTGCGGCACAAATTGTAATACCAAGTGCTTGAAAACAAATGTCGGAAAATATGGGTCTTCAATAGAAAACATTCAGTAAAGCAAAATTTTATAGAAGCCATACGGATGATCCCCAACATCATACCCGAAAAGAACACCGGATAAATATCTCATATGCATTTGTTTCGAACTAATCTCGTGCAAAATCATCACTGATAAGAGCCAGTTCTACAGCGTACTGGTTCGTTTCTGTCGCTATATAAGATATATTATATATAAGGTATAATGATATAGAAGATATAATGTTATATAAGATATAATGATATATACAACATATAACGTAATTAACGCACATCCTCAGACACCCCAATTAGTATATTATGTTATAATCATAATACATACACTGACTTTTTAGTTAAACATGTTTATGCATTGATCATTTATTAAATTAGTTATACTGATTCCGGAAGAATGTTGTGGTCACAGTACAAATTCACACGCGTCGCACACGTAGGTATAGATCATATGAGGGTCTTGGTAGCCTAGTTGGTATTCGCTCACGTTCGAGACGAGTTAACGCCGCGCCGGCGCCGCCTGACACAACTGTAGGTAGGGTTTTTAAAGTCCTCGGCACTTGTCTCATTAAAAAAAAAACTAATGATTTAATACGTCCCCACAAAAAAAGTCAAAAGGCGTCAAATCAGCTGGTCTCGGAGGTCACTGGACAGGGCAGAGGAATGCCGCGACCGATCTAGCGCTCTCCGAACTCTTTATTTGTAAAGACTTTAACTTGCTTGAAATAAGTTTCATTTTTCTTTATATTGTATTGAATGACGGAATTTGTATTAATACAAATTAAACTGCAGTTTTAAAAGTCTTATTGCCTTGAGTTATGGTCCATTTCAGTTTGTTTTGACTGTACAGGTTTAGTGTGACTGTAATTATTACCTATATTAAAAATAATAGAAATTGATTCAGTAACCGATTCTGAACAAACTACTTTCAGAATGTGCGTTAATTACGTTATGTGTTGTATAAGATATAATGATATAGTGTTATAATGATGCGAGATAATGCATCTGCAGCTTCATTACTCGTACCTTTAACAGATTGTACAACGTAATCATATTCGTCTAAAGCCAAGCGGAACTTTAATAATCTACTTGACGGGTTGTTAATGCTGAATAAATAAACTAAATAAATAATCAGTTTTTATGGTAAATTTTTCCTAAATAAGTATGGTCGAAAATATTTGACAGACCAAACTATTGCCAGGAGTTTGTGGCGCGACGACAGCGCCGTTGTGGAGATGTTAATGTCTGAATGTGATATGGAGATGATGATGACTGAATGTAATTTGGGGATGGTGATGGTTGGCTTTGATGTAGTGACGTTAATTTCTCAATGTGATATGGGGATGATGATGACTGAACGTAATTTGGGGATGGTGATAGTCGGGTATATTATCGTCATGATGACATCTGAAAAATAGGGAAGTTTCGAGATATTTTGATATGTCTCGTAGTTCGGCCGTTGTGATAGTGAGTTGTAAATCTTATAGGCCAGTGAACATTGTTCGTCAAGCGTCTCGAAGGCAAATCAATGCGCTGTGAACATGAATTCACCTCACGACGATACCGAGGCACTTGAAAGAGGTGTTTATCAATAATTTCTTGAACTGAAAAACAAATGATGTTTCCATTCGTTACAAGATTGTTCAAAGAGGATTCGAGAATTAAGAATGGAAAACTTTAAAAGCCTCTTGAAGAGCTTAATGTCCCACTTTTCACCACGTTTTCTCTCCAATAAATATGGTTCCAGCATTTGATCTTTACGGTCACTCCCACCCATATTCCTATTATAATCAAGAACCAACTGAAGTTTCCGCTGAGGCTGGTGGATGGTGCCAGCCTTTGCTCGGTGCCACGGTACGTACTGATTTAACGGAATCCTTTTCTTATCCTGATACGCCATTGTAACAACGCCACCCGAGTGCCCTGCCAGGAACTGGCCTGCCTGTAGCTTGCAGAGTGACACCAGAGATGGAACATTCTGACGATTGCCTCGTAGTGTTCCCACGCAATCGGTTCGACGTTTCTTCTAAAATCTCGCCAGGCCCTCCTGAACTGAACCAATTGTCCATAAAAAGAGGATAGCCTTTGTCGACCAGTGGCCAAATGAGTTTTCTCTCACGTTTTCTCTCCTATAAATATAGTTTCAGCATTTGATCTTTACGATCAGTCACACCCATATTCCTATTATAATCAAGAACCAACTGAAGTTTCCCCTGAGGCTGGTGGATGGTGCCAGCCCTTGCTTAGTGTCATGGTACGTACTGATTTAACGGAATCCTTTTCTTATCCTGATACGCCATTGTAACAACGCCACGGGAGTGCCGTGCCAGGGACGGGCCTGCCTGTAGCTTGCAGAGTGACACCAGAGATGGCACATTCTGATGATTGGCTCGTAGTGTTCCCACGCAATCGGTTGCACGTTTCTTCAAAATCTCGCCAGACCCTCCTGAACTGAACCAATTGTCCATAAAAAGAGTATAGCCTTAGTCGATCAGTGGCCAAATGAGTTTGAGTACAGTTTTAGTACCCACGTTAAGTGACGATGGAAATCAAGGATCGGGGTTTTTTTTCTTTCCTGTGTAGACGAAAAACGACCACATGTATCCCATAGCCGACTCGCACATTTAAAAAGTTTTTATTCCGAATCGAGGCGCTTTAGTCTTTATATATTGTAATACACTCACCGGCACGGAAACTTGGCCACTCGTGAATTTGCTGATTATTTGCACTAAAACGTTTTTTTAACAGTAAATTAAGGGTAGATGCATTCAATAAGTGTCTCTAATGGTCTTAGAACGTAGAAATTTAATGTTTACTTCACCGAAATTTTTCTTTTCAAGATAACATGTTTTCACTAAAATTAACATCTTTCCATTGTCACTTTAAAAACACTACAAAGTTAAAAATTAAGTCTGTTTCTTTATTGTCTATCAGTTTTAATATCGGGTGTTTCCTCCTCTAGCCCTGATAACCGCTTGCATTCGATCTGGCATGCTTTGAATGATGTTTCTGACATCAACTTGCGGTATGCTGTCCCAAGCGGCCAGCGCTGCATTTCGGAGCTCATTTAGAGTTTGTGGCGGTTTGGAGCTGGACTTTATCTTTCTTTTGAACATACCCCATACATGCTCAATTGGATTTAAGTCCGGGCTACGAGCTGGCCACTGTAATTTTTGTATTCCAACCTCTTCCAGATATTCCTCTACACAATGTGCGACGTGCGGGCGTGCATTATCGTGCATGAGGAGGAATTGGTCGTGTCCAATGAATCCCGAATAAGGCATTACGTGCTCCTGAAGAACTTCCTCGATGTATCGAGTAGCTGTAAGCCGATTATCGACGATGACCAACTCTGTACGTGCGTCGGAACTTACACCTCCCCATACCATTATTGAGCCTCCATGGAAACTCACAGTTTGGGTGGTGGTAATGGGTAGAAACCTCTCTCCTCTTTTTCTCCACACTCGTTCTCGACCGTCTGGAGCACGTAAAGCTATTCGACACTCATCTGTGAACAACACTCTAGCCCATTGCTCGTGGGTCCAATTGACATGTTCTCTTGCGAACTGAAGTCGGGCTACTCGGTGCTGTCTGAGAAGTTCTGGACCTCGTGCTGGTCTACGAGCTTTTAAATTCACTTCCTCCATTCGTCTTCTCACCGTACGCTCACTAACATTAACGCCTCTTGCGATTTGGAGCCGCTGGCGTATCTCAACAGCGGTCAGGTAGCGGTTTCTCAAAATCTCCATAACAATAAAACGATCGTCCCGGGCCGATGTGCACCTTACGCCCCCACTGCCTGGCCTGCGGGTGTAGCGTCCTGTCTCCTGGTATCGTTTCAGTGAATACTGCATTGAGGACCGTGGTACGTTAAGCACAATAGCAACTTCACGCTGTGTCAGCCCTTGGTCAATTAATGCTACTGCTTGTGCAACTTGTGCTGGTGTTAATGGCATTTTTATTGGCTTTAAAGCACCTTTAGTTATTGAATTAAGACACAAGATCACAATAATTGAATAACCTTACAGTAAACTTTTCACAACACACAAATTTAAAATGTGAACTTAGTCGCTCAAATGACCCGATTCAACTAAAAATTAAAGAATTCGTCATGGTGCACTTAAACATAATGAATTACCCTCTTGAAATTGAGAGCAAACATTTTTTGACATACCTGCATAACAAACATTCATCAGAAACACTTAAAGCTTTTGCTATCGCGAGATAACCGCTTGGCCAAGATTCCGTGCCGCTGAGTGTAGTTAAGCTCTCGTCAATACATATTTCCTGTTTAGGGATATAAACGGATTGAAAGCGGGAATTCAAATGATTTATAATTGGTTCAATAGGAAAGAGAGGGTGAGAATCAGGTGTGTACGTGTTGCGTTATTTACAAAATGAAAAGTGCGGCACAAATTGTAGTACCAAGTGCTTGAAAACAAATGTCGGAAAATATGGGTCTTCAATAGAAAACATTCAGTAAAGCAAGATTTTATAGGAGGTATACGGATTATCCCCAACATCATACCCGAAAAGAACACAGGATAAATATCTCATATGCATTTGTTTCGAACCAATCACGTGCAAAATCATCACTGATACGAGCCAGTTCTACAGAGTACCGGTTCGTTTCTGTCGCTATATAAGATACAGGGTAGGCCATAATGATGTTGGCGGTTTCAATATTCAATTAAAAAAGAACTACGAAACATAACAAAAATATATTTGTATTTTTAAAAAGTAGAAACATAGGAATTTTTAAGATCTAAAAATAATGTTGTCCAAATGACTTCCCTCGGCTGCTTGGCACTCTTGAAACCAAATTTGCAAATTTTGGAAAACTCGTTGAAAAGTTGTTCTCAGTATTTTGTTACTTTCCTGAATAACATTCTTCTTCAGCTGCTCTAAATTGGTCGGATTATTGTAGTAGACCACCGATTTGAGGTAGCCCCATAGAAAATAATCGCATGGAGAGAGATCGGGGCTACGTGGTGGCCATTCAATATCTCCCCTTTTCGAAATGAGCTTTCCGGGAAAAACATTTTTCAGCAGCTCTATGGACACCCTAGCCGTATGACATGTGGCCCCATCCTGTTGAAACCACATCCTCGAGGTATTGCCTTGAAGTTCTTGCAAAGCTGGCACCAAAAAGTCTGTTATCATATTGCAATAATTGTTAGCTCTAACTGTCATCGCTTGCCCTCTTTCGTTCCCAAAAAAGTATGGCCCAATAATACCGGATGACGTTATCCCAGCCCACATGACGCGGCTCTAGTAAAATGAGATTCCAAACGGGGAATATTGTCAATAAAATTAATTATATCTTGTTTTAAATTCAAATTTAGTTTTTTTTTTGTTTTCCATGTTTACCGCGTTTATCTTCAATCAAAAAATCATTAGGGTCACTTTTATCTTTTATAGTACGAAGCATTCTATCAGTAACAGCAAAGGTATTAATAAAAAAAGTTTTGCAAACTTTTTTCTTATTGTCATTCTGCAATTTTATGTAAAAGACAAAATTTGGCTTCCTTGGATTTTCTGTTAAGGTGTATTTATATTTAGGATGAACTTCTAGCATACAGCTCTTTAAATACATTCTTTGTTGATGTAGATCACCCAAACTCCAAAATTTGTTAAATATGTGTTTTCATTCTTGTTCAGAAATAGACATTGAACATTTTAATCTGCATTTTTCATTGCACGGTGGTTTTATAGTACGAGCTTGAATTTCTTTTTTAGATGTAACAGAAATATAAGCATGGCCGGTATTTCTTTGTTTTTTCGCCAATTTGCTTTTCCAAAACTGAGGATCTCCCTTTTAATTTTTTTATTGGCCTGTTTAGAAACTATTTGAGAAATTGGACCTGGAGGACTTGAACACGACTGAAAACTTGAACCCGGTTGAGGACTTCGAATGCATTGAGAACTTGGACCCGACTGAGGACTTGGACACGACTGAGTACTTGGACACGGCTGGAAACTTTGACTCGGCCGAGGACTTCGACGCGATTGAAAATTTGGACCCAGCTGAGGTATTGGACTCGTCTGAGAACTTGAACTTGACTTAGACATGTTAATGTCATTTTTGTTAAATAAAAGATCAGTTTTGCTCCGTTTTATTTCCTTCAGATCACATGTGTAAGTTGGGTCCGAGTCGCTTAGATCGGCGTTACTTTCACCAGAGTTATTTGGCGAAATTACATAATTTTTCTTACATGAACGCGATTTTCGCAAAGATTTATCCCTAGATGAAATAATTGTTAAAGAACATAAAGTTTTTTTTTTTTTATAAAAACGTTACCTCCACACTAGGATTTTCTCCTGTATCGTGGAGGCAGTTTACAAACACAAATTGCACAAGGACAAACATCCAGACCCGGAACAATTATTTGTAGGCCATACAAATACTTGTTCCGTGCGGGATTCGAACCCGCGCCCCCCAGCGCAGCAACTCATTGCTAAGCCACTGCGCCACAGAGCGAACAGGAAAGTAACAGTATTTTGTTACTTTCCTGAATAATATTCTTCTTCAGCTGCTCTAAATTGGTCGGATTATTGTAGTAGACCACCGATTTGAGGTAGCCTCATAGAAAATAATCGCATGGAGAGAGATCAGGGCTACGTGGTGGCCATTCAATATCCCCCCTTTTCGAAATGAGCTTTCCGAGAAAAACATTTTTCAGCAGCTCTATGGATACCCTAGCCGTATGACATGTGGCCCCATCCTGTTGAAACCATATCCTCGAGGTATTGCCTTGAAGTTCTTGCAAAGCTGTCACCAAAAAGTCTGTTATCATATTGCAATAATTGTTAGCTCTAAAGGCTGATTTACACAGGGTCAGTAGACAAGTCAGTCGCAGCGCCAATGTCGGCGCCGCGACTGACTTTAACTGTTTACATGAAGTAAGTAGTAGTGATGCGTTTCTCACGGTGAGCACACGTGTGTGAAGTCAGTGGGAAATATGAATTCGCGAAAACAACTGAAACGACGATTTAATTATTTGTTGAAAAATTTATCAATTTTGCTGTTGAATGAGTTAATAGAAATGGTAGAAAATGAGATAACTAAAAATAAACGACAATGGGTAAGAAAATGGATTGACGATAGAAATGAAACTGGTGGCTCTGCTTTGTTGCTGAAGCAATTGCGATTTGAAGATCCTGCGGAGTACAAACTGGCTATGAGGATGTCACCACAGAATTTTGACGAATTGCTGTCAATGATATCGAGCTCTATTCAACGACATGATACATTCATGAGAGATGCTATACCAGCCAAAATTAAACTGGAAATAACGCTGACATTTTTGGCTTCAGGAATGAACTATCGGTTCCTTAGTCACTTTTATCGTGTCTCAAAACCAGCAATTTCTCAAGTAATACCAGAAGTGTGCTGGGCAATATATACGGCACTAAAAACACATATTAAGGTAAGAAAACCTTTATTATTAAATTATTAGAAAATTAAGAAATACAACATCAAAATAGTATTAAGAATTTTCATAGGAACGCATAATCGTGTTAACAGCAGTGTTATTTTCACTTTCAGCTTCTTCGTTGATCGTGGTGCTGTAATTCAAACCTGAGGGTGTAATAATAACCTGCCTGGGGTTCACAAATGTAGGGTTCGTTGATCGATCGGAAGAATGAAATCCTAAAGAGCTGTTGCTAGTGGCAGGCTCGGCAACCTCTGGCGGGTAAAATGTTATGGTGTTGTCGCTTGATGCAGTCATTGGGTTGGGCTCCAGGGAGTAAAATCCCATGCTACTTGTGCTGCTTGTTGTAGTTGCTGCCGGACTAGGGATAAAATAGTTAGGGGATGAAGAGTGTGCATTTTCTGTATACTTCTTTTGTTGTATATCAGCCAATCTAGCTTTGGATAATATTTTTTGGATCTCTTCTTGTGCAATAACAGATTCTTCTTCAGACAGTTTTTTTAGTTGAGCTGCCACATGTTTACCGAAAATATCAGCGTCAGACTCTTCTTCAAATGGTGACATATTAACATCATTTGACACACTTTTTAAGTCCTTTATCATGGCGGCCATCTGAGATATTTTGGAGCGTTTTGATCGCGGAGGCCCAGATTGATTGGGAGCTGTCACAGAATTTCGAACTGGCGTCTGGATGGCTTGAGTTGGCGTTTCAGTAGAATTATCATTATTTTCAGTAGATCTTCATACATTTTCAGCTCCGTCACCAACACCCTCAGCTTCACCCAACTCAACGTCATCGTTGCTGGTTCCTGAGTTATCCTGTTAATTAATGAGAATAAAATGTAATGTTTAATAAATCATTAGTTGATGATAATACGTATTTAGGTTGTAATTATTTTTTTTTGTTTACAGATTCCAGAACGAGAGGAAGAATGGAAAATTATTGAAGACGGTTTCAATACCAAGTGGAATTTCCCTTCATGTCATGGAGCAATCGATGGGAAGCATATTATAATTAAAGCTCCTCCAAATAGTGGAAGTGAATTTTATAATTATAAAAAAACCAATAGTACAGTATTGTTAGCACTTGTAGACCACGACTATTGTTTTTCATATATAGACGTTGGAGCGAATGGAAACGCCTCTGATGGAGGTGTTTTCAAAAATTCCTCATTATATCGTCGGTTAGAAGATGGATTGCTTCCTACAAAGGGAGTAATAGTTGGTGATGCAGCATTTCCACTGAAGAATTATCTACTAAAACCCTATCCAGGTACGCAGCTAAGTACTGCCGAAAAAGTCTTTAACTACAGGTTGTCGCGTGCAAGGCGCATAAGTGAAAATGCTTTTGGTATACTGGTTTCTAGATTCCGAGTGTTCGAAAAAGCAATTCCTACCCATGTGGACACAGTTGATGCCATTGTCTGTGCAGCCTGTGCCCTGCATAATTGGTTGCGAAAGCGTTCAAGTTCCTACATAACATCTACTTGTGTAGACAGAGAGGACAATGATGGACAAATAATAGAAGGAACATGGAGATCGGAAATAAATCCACTACCAAGCATTTCAGAACAACAAAGAGGCAACCATTCCATGACTGCTAAAGAAAAAAGAGACCTATATAGGAACTTCTTTATGACTGCTGGAAGTGTGCCATGGCAATTGGATAGAATTCATTAATTTTGTATAGGTACCTAGGATGGAAATAAAATAAATAAGTTACAATAACTACTTACCATTGTTTTCCTTTTTACAATAGCATTTTTTATAAAGCCGTCCAGTTCTTGAAACCACTTGACTTTTGGTACATATACGTTCCCACCAGCGCCAGATCTGGTGGATTTTTGTATCTTGTCGAGCTCTAAATAATATGTAGCCCTTATGGCTTTAATTTTATTTTTTACTTCAGTAGAAGTGAGCCCTCCGATTTGCATTTGTTGAGCCATATTTTGCAACGCTGTTGACCGCATTTCTTCATTGCGGTAATTTAGGGATTTAATATCCCAAAGGCACTCGTTTTCGCCATATAATTGCACCAATTTTAAGGTTTCGTCTTCGCTAAGCTTACGCGTCATTTTTATCGCCAGCGAAAAAAACGTGGTTACTCTACAACGCAGCGGCAGTGACTAACCACGCACTGACTTGTCTGTTTACACGGGGTTTATTTGGGTGGCGCGGGGATGCGCGGGTGGCGGGGGGCGCCAACTGACTTTAAAATATTCGTGTCCGAATATTCAAGTCAGAGCCACTGTACTGACTTCAAATCAGTTTACACAAGTTTTTTTTCGGGTCAGCACTGACTTGCCTCGAATTTGTAGTCAGTTACTGACCCTGTGTAAATCAGCCATTACCGTCATCGCTTGCCCTCTTTCGTTCCCAAAAAAGTATGGCTCAATAATACCGGTTGACGTTATCCCAGCCCACGCGACAAGCTTAGGGCTGTGAAGTGAACGTTTATGCAAACGTCGGGGATTAGTCTCGGACCAGAACCTACAATTTTGCTTTTTCACATGGCCAGTAAGGATTGGCCTCATCACTAAACATCACGTTGTCAAAATTGTTGAACCGCTCGAGCATCAAATTGACAAAGTTAAGTCGGTTATTGGTATCATCTGGTTTTAATTCTTGGACTATCTGAATCTTATAAGCCTTCAAATGCAAATCACGCTTCAAAATTCGTCGCAAAGTCGTTCTTTTGATGTCCAAAGACTGACTTCTCTTACGTGTTGACTGTTGCGGATTTCGCCGAACTGAAACACGAACACGCTCCACAATTTCCGCTGATCTTGCAGAAACTGGGCGACCACGAGCTGTAATTGGTACTCTCGAGCCGGTTGTTTCGAACATTCTGATCCATTTCCGTATCACATTGGCGCTTGGAACTTCACTTAAATGGCGTAAACCGTGCTCATGTCGATACAAACGTCGTGTAGTAATCACTAATTTATTGTTTTCGTAATACGCTCGGACACAAAATGCACGCTGCACTCCCGTGTACGGCTCCATGGCGACTAAATTTGCAGGAAGCGGCGCAGCTAACAACATATCCCCCCACCACCCCGCGCCACGCGTTTCCGAGAAATTGAAGAATTAAATCGCCAACACTCCTGTATAATGATATATAAGATATAATGATATATATAACATATAACGTAATTAACGCACATCCTCAGACACCCCAATTAGTATATTATGTTATAATCATAATACATACACTGACTTTTTAGTTAAACATGTTTATGCATTGATTATTTATTAAATTAGTTATACTACTTCCGAAGAATGTTGTGGTCACGGTACAAATCCACACACGTCGCACACGTAGGTATAGATCATATGAGGGTCTTGCTAGCCTAGTTGGTATTCGCTCGCGTTCGAGACGAGTTAACGCCGCGCCGGCGCTGTCTGACACAACTATAGGTAGGGTTTTTGAGGTCCTCGGCACTTGTCTCATTAAAAAAAAAAACTAAAGATTTAATATGTGTTCAATGTTCAGTAATACAAAGGATATGTATGTTGTTACTATTTAAAAACAATTCAACTTCTAATTCTTTACCCATCATGCCTTGAAAATTTTATGCACCAGGTGTAAACAATTACTTATTTGTGGGCTGCATTCAAAGTTAATTAAACTCTTTAAATTGCTAGAGATTGCCTCTATTGTCGCATTTACTAATTTAAATTAGTTGGAACTGATTCCAAATTAATTGTCAAATAATTATCCTGCCCAATAAAAGCAGTCTTGGTAGCCAAAAACTTGGCTGAGTTAAAAAGTAAATAATAAGATTTTAGTAAATAATAAGACACATTTGCTATCAGTCTTAAATTATATTTGGATAGGTAATACCCATCTTTTGTCCAAAACTAGTTTATTAAATTATTTATATTAATTTAATGAAATTTGTCATTATTATAATTACAATTATATGTCAAATTTAAATTATTGTTACATATTATGTGCGGCAATCCCTGTATGTAAGGCAGTGTGAACAAGACAATTTTGTGTACATTTAAGTTATTAAGTTGCTCAATATATCTTAATAACTGTTTGTTGTTTACACTGCCTCTTCTATCAACAAAAATTATTACTGTACTATTTGGGCAAAGGAGAATGCCCATTAATGTATGGAATCCCGTACCATGTTGCATCAAAATCAAACTTTGTTTTCTATGAACTACACTGATCATATTAAATCCTACAAAAGTTATTTTTTTTACAAAAACCCGGATTTTGAGTTATTTTATAAAATCGAAAATAACCTAAAATCTAGGTCTATTTTTTCGACACTACCAAAACCAATTTTAAATAGACACGTTCAACACAGACAAACTTTATGGCTCTAAAAACAGCGTTATCCACTAATATCAGTAAGAATTAAGAGTAATATCAACATATAGCCGTGCTACAGGATGCGTGACTGAAACTCGAAGATTTGCGCGTTTTTTGTTTTTGTTTTTGCGCCTAGAAGCAATGAAAAGGGCTACCCTCCGGGAAGCGGTAAGGGAGGTGGTGAATGCTCTAAGCATACCACGACAGCCGGCTGCGTGGTTATGTGGGACTCACTGCGAAACCTAAGTGCCTACCCACTAAACACCACCTGTGAGACTGCTTGCTCGAGGCTTGTGTGGGCTTTGAGGAGGCCTATAATCAGCTGTGGACTTGTGAGGGGCTGTAATGATGATTACTGTGATTACACTACCAAACTAATATCAATATAACATAATCATAAGGGTGACCAAACTGAAAAACACGCTCATGGAGTCTAGAGAGCGTCTTGAACAATAACCCTTTAATAATCTTAAAATACTATAAGGCTGGGTACTACCACCTGCTTGGGATTATGTAATTCATAAAATTAAAACTAAACCCAAGCATACCACTGCAAAACTTCAAGACACTATCGTTCAACTATCATTCTGTGTAAATCAGACTAAAATTATTAATTAAAAAAGCTGAAGGTACTCCGGTTTAACTCTGACATCGGGACGTCAATCACCTACCTCAGTCCCCCGTGACCACGGTTGCTGGAAAACAACCGAATCGTCGGGAATATAAAATAAGTTAATAAAACGCGATAAAATCCGTAAAAATAGTTTTATTCAATGTGTAGTGTTCGTGTAAATATAAGAAATCAAAATGTATATTAAATAAAATATTTAATATACATTTACTTAAATCATTCATTCATCATACTCCTGAAAAAAATTATCTAAAGCCGATGCCGGCGCAGTTACGTCATTATACCGTCCCCAGCTCAAATACCACACTATCGTCATTATATGAGCACAGCAGCCAACTGTTCACTTACCGATGAGGCAGCTGCAGCAATAGCCTACTATGGTATCTAATGTGTTAGCCACAGCATCATCTCTGCTAATCAATAAATACGTGTGATAAGTACGACTGTTGACATGTCTAGATTTAATCCTACCTCTTAAGAGATAATTATTAAGCCCTAATATCAAAGGTACATCATCATCAAGAGTATTATTCACCTCAATTGAATAAATACCAGTCTGACGGATGTGTTCCCCATAATAAGATGTAGCCTGTTTGAGTTGGTAGGTCCCAAGAGCTAACCGTTTTAAATCAGTTATTGTCAATTGAGGAAATCTATCTAAATGTGGATTATTGCTGTTAATCATCTGAAAATTCACTCTCCTTCTATTGAGATTTGCCTGTTCAACATAAGTTGCTAAATGGTTCTCTAGTGAAAGCCTATCTTTAGGAATTCTTACATATTCCAAGGCTTCAGGTGGGTTTTCTATAACAACATGAAACTTATTAATTAGGGCACAAGAGATTCTAAAATCATTCTTTAGGTGCAAAGCCGCTCTATTGTTAAAAACATGACGAAAGAGTCTAAAATCCCTTTTCACCCTCCCATTAACCACTTCTACAACCCAGCGGCACATAGTAACAAAACGAGATCGATTTGCCTGCTGGGTTGTTAATTGATGCTCATTCTCAAGTAGAGACTCTGGCATATGTGCTACAAAGCCATACCTTTGGAGTTCATTAATTACATCCCTAAATCCTCTATCAAGGATGAAAATGTCACCCCTTCGGAAAAATGATCTTAAACAAGATTCCTCATTACATAAGTTTAAACTTGTAATTGAAGCATCATTAGAGGTCGCCTTGTATGGCCCGAGGCAATCCACAATATGACCATCACAAGAAACTATCATAAATGGTTTGACCAAATTATCCAATTTTTGCAAACTGTATGTTTGTTTTTGAAATAAGTAATTAGAACTACTTTGGATAAATACATAAGTAGCATCACATATGACTATTGCTGGTTTAGAATTAGGTGGCAAATCAGGATTACCAAATAATCCTTCTGGTATTATTCTATTTCTAGAAGCAACATCTTCAACAGTCAAATGATTAAATCCTAAGTATAATGGAACAAACTCATTAATTAAACACTCTCTGGCCTTATTCATTAAGCGTTCTAAGGTGACACGAGATTTATTAAAGAGAGTTGCCAACCTTTCATTACTATCCCCAGTTCTCAGCTTAACTAAGTAAATACTTAAAGCAATCGTGGCATTTGGTACTTGTCCTGCTAGACTTGGGATACAGTTTAACAAATCATAAAACTGATCAGAGTTCATGCCAAGCCAAAACTGACACAAATATGCAGGCATAATTAAAATATTTGAGAAATCTATATGGTAATAGGCAGCTCGCTGCATCATATTCATAATTGTGTCGAATTGACTACCGGTAAAATCTCTTAACTGGGAAGATAATTCGCTCCAACGGCCATGATTCAGGTGGTGACGACAGATTCGTGCTGCCGGTGGCACATACAATTTATAATTAAGTAATAACAGATTCTTTATAGATGAGGGTATCAGTAAACGTTCTGTTTCAAAACAATTAACAAATATACAGTGATTGGATGTGCTAGCGGCACGCTTATAAGTAGAAGATATAATTGTTGAATTTGATCTAACTTGGTGTGTAGTGTGTAGTGTAACAGTGTGTAGGTTTTGTTGTGGAAGAGGGGGTGGCTCAGGAATATTGAGATCCCCACTTGGTCCAGCATCTGACAGACCAGGGCGATTGGAGTCGTGCTGATCATGACGTTGCACTTCTCTTACAGCTGATCTCCAGCAAGCAGCACATACTCTTTCCAATCTTGAGATCTAAAAAATAACATGATTAAACATGTAATACAAAATATTTCACAATAGGTTATAAGCTTGATAAATGTTTGTGATGTAACTGTTAGGAACATATGATAATGGTCGGGCAATAATTGTGTCAAAAGAGATAATATTATCTAATACCTACAACATTATTTATTTGTGAAAGCTTCACTTATCGGGACTCAATATAATAAACACATCTAATAATAGTATTATCACAATCAACTATAGAAGATTGGAAAAAAGTAGAACATTAAAAAGAATTTGATTTTTTTTTCATGTAGCAACATAAATAAAAATATTTACCAAATGCAGCGGAACACGTCTAACTTAAATGTTTCTCTCTTGTCGATCTTGTCTTACAGGATATGTTCTAGTTGCACGTAGAATAGAATTGCCACAAGAAAAACATAATTTTCTATGACCAAAAGCAGGCAATCCTTCACTGATTGTGTTTGCTCTATCTTGAAGCAGTGTCAAACACTCTGTACAAAGTACGCATTCTGAAGACAACTGCAATAAAAACCATGACTAAAAAGTGTGTAAATACACCTTGTGGCGTTATCTATCATCTGTAACATATTCACAGAAGTTACACCTGTATGTAATCAAGGGCAAAGCCTTTTTTGACCTCAAACAGGTTCAATCTTTGTTATTTTTTGTGCAAGTCTAAAATAAATATTTCTTTCATTCTATAAAAATGTTTTGTAAGATGGTGGAGATGTGACATCCTTAGATATTCAGAGTAAAATAAAATCTGCTTACCTGAGTAGGAGTTATCCACGACTGTAACAAGTTAATCATTGGAGTAGACGCTTGTTCTAATGAATGTGTACGTAGGTTTCTGGGTATCAAAAATGAACAATTGATACATCGTTGGTTTTGCCGGGTGACTGACGGTATCAATTGGTCAACCCCACGACTCGACATATTTGCACAATTAAATACACAGAAAAAGTTTACAAAATACAACAAGTTTTACTTCACAACATACAAAAATACATGCGGTCGTATTTGCTAGCGCATACGCAAAGTTACTGTTACTGCGTCATTACAAATGTCAGACCCGGAAACGGTAACTATAAACCATAAACTAGGCATGTCGATTCGAAAAATCGATTATTTAGGGTACTATTATCAATTTTCAGATCGATGTGGGACAGTACATCGATTCGATGAATCGATCCAAAAACCTCGCGAATCGTTCTGATTCACGAACTAGTGATAAAGTACATAAATTGGTTGCAATGTATTACCTTTTTAATTTTTATGCTGTAGTCGGACGCAAAAACAACCGGTCGTACTTGGTGGTTAATTTGAACACATAAAATAAATATTTATGAGCTAATTATGGATGTCGCCGCCGGAGGACCCAAAAAAAAAAACCAAAATTACTTTTATTAAACTTAAATTAAAAGATATTACAAGTAAAAATAACTAATACTAATTAAATCTAATTATACCAACACCCCGTTCGATGTTAGAAACGAAGTGTAGTGGCATCATGGAGTTTCGTATATATAATGCTGGCAGGTGACGCCGCGGGCGTCACTGTGAATCCACGGCAGCTACATTTCCCATCAGGTTAGCAGAATTGCCTCGCTGCATTAGGTTTCTGATAAAGGTGCTATGTCGGTTGACATCGCGTGCGTCATTGTGAGTCCACGGCGACCGAGTTTCCATCAAGTCATCGAAACTGCCTCGTGGAAGCGATGTTGAAATGTTGTGTGGGAAAATGAGGTAGCCGCGTAATTCGCGGTTTTGTAAGGGACATCCATATATGTAACAAGTTCATCCAAAGAAGTTGTTACTTACATTACTTACTAATAATAAAAAAGTTGTCATTGTTATTTCTAATCTAACCCGTGGATTCCAGCCTCTAAACTTATCTGTGCTTTTTATATACTTATCTATCAAAGGAGTTTTGACGGGAACTTGACCGGCTGATTGCTGTTCCTGTATTATTATTTAAATAATGGTTTCAAGTGGATTTTGTTATGTTAAAGTGGTTCGAATCTGCATATTAAATGTCTGCGCATATGAACTATTAGCGATAACGGTGCAACAAGTGCTTCGATGATGATGTGAATCTCAAAATAAGGCGTCTGCCTGCTTAAGCACCTTGAAATACTATTACCAACTATCTGCTGGCTCAAGTGGCCGTCAAAATCTCCTGAAATCTACGCGATGTGGTGAATCAACATGTTGTGAAGCAGTGTACTATAAAAGATCACTTGATACTAAAATGAATGAAAACATAGCTTAAAGGACAACAAGCATCCAAGCCAAAAATCTAAATAAAATAATATTTATTAAAAATATATTGTGACTAAATATTATATGTTGAAGTTTATTGTAAAGAAATAAACATTACCTATTATGTTCGTGTAGAATACATTTCAGTTTGATAAATAGTGAGTGATTAAATTGAAACCGATTTATCGAGAAGTGCATTTTTTTTTCTGGAAGTGTACGCTGTTGGACCTACGGCCTTGACAGCTTCATCTAATTAGGCTCGTAGGCGAACACTTACGAACTATTGAGTGCAACGATTGCAATCCCGAGGTACCCCGACCCCTGCTTTCGGAGTGAGGCTCCTCGAACTGGGGGCGGGGGGGGGGGGGGGGCTCGATGCAATTCAAGGGCCCCTCAGAAGGAGGTACGAACCTCGGCTTGAATCACTATCGCAATTTTGTTTACGGGTCGCAAAAATTAGAAACGCCCCGTATTACGGGTGTTGCACCTCGTGTACGGGGTGTGTCTATGACCACGCGTTCGCCGGCGAACGCGATGTGCCCTAGTGTTCTGTACTAGAGTAGTGTCTGAGTGTGTGGAGAAGGTTACGTTGCAGTTTGCACTATTTAAATTCCCAGTCGTAGCACATAGTCTGGATTTGTGCCCAGTGTATAACAAAAGGCTCAACCCCCATTACACGGGCGGTATAACATAACTAAGGACTAGTAGGAATACTACATACCTCTGCCTACTCCTTCGGGGAAATACATGCGTGATGTTATGTTTATTAATTGAATAATAATGATTAGCAGGAGTGCTACACACCTCTGCTTACTATTTCGGGGAAATACAGGCGTGGTGTTATGTTTATCAATTTAATCTTATTTCTATCCAATTACTTGTATTTAGTAAATTATCATCAATAATGTTCTGTGTCTATATTAAGCATATTTGAAAATGTCGTGATTAATCGAAAATCAATCTTTTAACACTCGATTTAATAAAAAATCGATTCTGGTATGTATGAATCGAATCGGATATCGATTATTTTTTAACTGAATCGATATGCCTGCTATACGTGTCATTTATAGGGAGTAAAACCACAGACATAGAGCATGGACTGAGACTTCCCTAACCAAATGTAAAATAAAATTGACTATATCCTAAATCCATACTTCTAAACTTAAAAGTAAATTCCATGTTCAAAAATCAAATCCCCGGACGAGTAATGTCGTAAACTAATATGAAACTAATTACTATAAAATGTTGGTCTTGATGCGCGAGAATTTTTGGTACCATTTTTGGTCATTCTCCTTTAGTAACTATAATTTTATTTAGGATGTCACTAAAAGATGCTCCAGGCATGCAGCAATTTGTAATTTTTCGTCCCTTTAAAGAGTAATTTAAAGTTATGCATAGATTTTTTCCTATGTCATCGCTATACACAATTATATTATTTTTGTTAATATCGAAGTTATTTTTTATTTTAAGCTCCTCTGCTATGGCACTGTCATAGAGTTTTGGTGGTAGTATAATATTATCAGCACACACCGACTCTGAAGAAGCTGGTATTGAATGCTGACACTCACATTGATGTTTAACTAAGGAGTCAAAACGCTCCTCATTGTATTTACATGTCTTTACCAGATTATCCATAGCCAGTATGTGTTCTTTTATTTCGTTTTGGGCTGATTTATATTTATTGGATACAGTTTGAAGGGAATTTGTAAGAGATAATATTTCTGATTTAAGGCACTCTACGTCAGTCTCATAACATTTTCTTATGTTATCCACCTCAATTGAATACAACTTAAGTTCATATATCAATGCTTGCTTTTGTTTACATAAATTAACAAAATTTTTGGTATTAATCTTATTTTTTTATTAATTTTTGTACTTTCCTTATGTATTTATTAACTTTATTCCTTATATATTTATTAACGTTATATGTGAAGGGAGTAACTATGCTTTTGGAACATTTAGTTCGAACTTTTATTTATGTATATATTATATATACAGTGTATCCGGTCACCACCTAGCGATAATTTAAGGTTACAAAATATACCTAATTTCATCGACAAAAATAACATCATGGAAAGTTTTCCCTACAAAATATCTTTAAAAAATTTACAATGGTAATTGAAGTAATAATTGACTGTTTTTTATTGTCTCAACATACTTTAAAAACTAGCACATTGATACTAAATTTTTAATAATGTCTTAATACTTAAGGATATTACTTACAAATTGACGTTAAAATTATTGTTCTTAATTGCATAACTCGAGAGTTAGGGCTGTTTGAATATGACCCTTTTGCGAGGGTCATGTATGTAGAGCCTCATATTATAAGCGCTATTAATTTTCGATAATGGATTACATAAAAATGCACTATAACTTTTAAGAAACTTAATGGCATTAAGTATTATTATTAATTTAATAATTCTTCAAATCGTATGTATATATTCTGTAGACAGGCCATTGACCTTACAGCCATTTGTTGTGTGGTCCTTGATATTAAGGCTATGTCGGATCTTATGTCATCCGCAATCGTCATTGTTTTGTCGAGCAGTTCTTGTCTGCTATTTGGGACTGTAGCATAAACCCACTGCTTAAAATAACGCAGAGGTGTTAAATCCGGAGAGCGAGGTGGCCCAGCTACCGTTTCACCACGTCCTATCCATGGTGAATAATTTTCATTAAGAAAACTCTCACAGCACGTGCGTAGTGAGCTGGTTCACCGTTCAACTGTAGCCACATGCGCCTTCGGTTGATCACTGGTAATTCCTCCATGATTTTTCTAAATGTATTCCTTAAGGTGGGTATCCATTACGTTCGCGAACCTCTTGCGCTCCGCGCTCCCGTAACCGCTCTGATGGAGACGGGTACGCGTATCTCCATAGGAACATGCATGCTCCACAGTCCTCTTGTGAACATTGAACAAACATGTCGTCCCTATTAGTGGCTAGTGCAGTATATATTTTATTTCATTATCTACTCGAAGACTATAGAAGCCCTACTCGCTTTTGGGAATCTGACATTTTCAAGAAAAGACGTTCGAATTCATTGGTGTTGGAATTTAAATCTCAAGAACTAAGTGGCCATTATAAAAACTTCATGCGAATGTCTTCATCTACGTAATTTTGAATATTTGTATAATTTGGTTGTACAAAAAAAAACTAGCTATACAAAAAAAAGACACAAAATTTCGAAAAGCTATATCGGCTCAAGATAAATTTGCATTAACGCTACGATTTTTAGCTACGGGTGATAGTTTTACAAGTGTGCAATACTTATTTAAAATCTCAAAACAGGCAATCAGCAAATTTATCCCAGAAGTCTGTCAAACTATTATCAATGGACTGAAAGACAATGTGAAGGTAAGAAATGTTTTATTAATAATAGGTTCCATACAAATTAAAAAAATAATATAAGAAGTATAATTAAACGAAATCATCGACATCAAAAGAATCCGCGCTGTAGTGCGATCCGCTTGGACTGCTTTGACTAATACCAGCTTCAGAGGTACTACCTGTTGGCCGGGAGTGTGCTGATGAATAAATCAGTGTAGCTGTTTCTGGCCGTGTTGTATAATAATTTTGGGACTGACTTGTGTAGTAACCATATTGTTCATTGTTACTAAAATATTCTGCGTCAGCCTTAAATACGATATCACATAAACGCTGTTGTACCAAATTCTTCGTGCGATGATCGTAACTTCTCAATTTATTCTCTAAAAATTTACAAAACGTGCCAATCACGTCGTCTTGATTTGACTTGGTTGATGCTAATTTTAAAATACCAAATGCATCCTTTAACATGGCAAGTTTTGGATCGTATTTGCGTTTTTTTGGAGGCGTCGGGGACGTATTTGTCGGAGATGGAGGCCCATATGTAGTTTGTTCAGTAGACGGTTGGTCGAGTATGGCATCATTATTATTTTCCTAAAAACAAAACAAAACAGGCTAAAAATGTATGTAAACACTTTATTGTATAGTCAGCGACATATTAAGCTTTACATATTTGGTTTTTTAGTTGCCTAACAACCCTCAAGAGTGGTTAATGATGTCTGATGCATTCGACGAGTTATGGAACTTTCCTCATTGTATCGGCGCAGTGGATGGAAAACATGTAGTTTTACAGGCGCCTGTTAACAGTGGTACCGAATTTTACAACTAGGCTTTCCTTCAGGGTCAGGACGTGGGAATCGCGAAAGAAGTACTCGAAAACAACCCTTTTCTGATGAATCAATGTACAGTCCCCCAGACTCAGACCTTGAGCAATATGACATCGTGCATTAGTCATAATAAATGGAATAGTCATAAGCATTATACTGGTAATTCTTATACGTTAAATCCTTTAATTTTAGATAGACGTCCTAAGGGCAAAAAAAAAAAGATTTTGATTGTTTTTATAGTGAAAGAAAACTGCGCAACGTACCTACCTCATGTTATGGAGATTTTGATCAATGGACCTTTAAAGAGTCGATGTATAAATTTTTGTCTGAAATATTTAATGATTTAAGGTATACTTTTGAGTATGTGTTATATGATGATAATTATCCTAATATAGGTGTAGAGAATAATTTTTGGTATTTGATTATGTATTTAAAGCAATTAGTTATGCACGTGCCCGATCCTTTTATAATTGTTGATAAAGTTAATGGAAAATTTCAACAAAGTGGTCACGTCAGGTTAACGACTTGCAACAACAAGTCTTTGTTTTAAAGCAAGAATTGGAACGTGCCCTTATCGTTAAGAATACAAGGATAAGTAGTGTTTATCAACCTACAAATATTTTAAGTAATGTAATTGGGAATGTAAAACCCATATCTAAAAATTATGTAAAGGAAAGAAATAATATATAACAATTTTAAACACAAAACTTTATTTTAATAAATCCCTTTCCCAATCCTCTAATACAATATTATTAAAAGACATTAATTTATGTTTTAAAAATATGTAGAACATTGCCAATGGATGTGGCTTTTTCTTAATATACTTCAAAAACTTGGCTGGTTTCCATTCGTATCTCCACATTCTTGTATCAAAAGGAGGTGTATGTGGGAAGATGTCGTTATTACTCAGTATTATTACTGGTGTTCGTCTCAGTATTATTACTGGTGTTCGTGGGATGACGCAATCACCTTGATATTTAACACGAACGGCTGTCGAGTCACCTCCAAAAATAGTTTTCAAGGTCTCTTCGGCTGCTGGCTCTCATAGTTTGGGTCGTTCCAAAGTAATATTCTTTTTCTACGCAGTTCATTAGCGGAAAAGTATTATACTTATTGAAATTTGCTATTTGTCCAAATTAATGCATGAATGAATTAAACAATCAAAACGTAATTTTTTCCAGCGTTAGGTGGCGACACGACTAGGAACGTGTTTCTTTTTGGTTTTGTTTTACATACCACTTGATACAATCTCATTAAGAATGTATGTATTTCGTATTTATCATTGTCGAATTGAAATTCCAATAATTTCTCCAGTACTTGAATAGAATTTTCAATGTTGAAATAATATGAAGAAATAGCATTCCAAGGAGCCACATAGATTAATCGATTCATACTTCTGTTTCTTGTTTTTAAGAATAACTGTTTATATGTATAGTCACATAATTTCTGATTTATATTATGTAGACAGTTTTTGAAAAACGAATCGTTTCTATTTTGATATTTAAATGGTCCGTTCACCCAATGGCCCGTATAAACAATATTTTGAGTTGGAGTAATTATGTACCCTTCCAGCCACGTTTCGAGCCGGCTGGTTTTCGTTCGTTTTCGACCCCTTTGGTAGCCATCATTTGCTTTATAATTTCCTTCTTCAGTCTCTCCACTAGAGCCCCCACAGGCGAGTCCTTTTCAGAGATGACCATTGTAGATCTCATCTCCGCATGCCTCCACCAATCCTGCTTTTGATTTCTGGCACAACTCTTGTAGGGGTACACATCGAATTTGAACTCTTGTAGGGGTACACATCGAATTTGATCACCGATTTGCCAGATATCCCCGGAGACTTCAAGGTAATGCATTCGTATCTGTCCTGTAAACAGATATTCTGTGAGATTTTCGATATACCCTGAGTCGATGAGTGCGCTTGAACAATATCGTCGAGCAAGGAGCTGAAGCCCTGAGAGTTTTCCTGATCCGATTCTTCGCTTTCCATCTGAAATTTAACCTTGTTCTTCGGGTTCTCGTCGTCCGACGTTTCTGGATCCGATTCCGGTTGTTTCCTTCTCGAATTCGTTCGCTCCTTGTTCGAGCTCGATCTCTTTTGATTTGATCTGTTGACTGTCATACGAGATTGTTTCATCGCAGAACGATTTGTACTCCCGGAGGACGTCGATGGCATGGCTCTACATCGGCATGTGTTGTTCGTGTACGCGCAATTGTGGATGACATGGAGGTGCGTCCCGTGTTCGACAATAAGGAGGAGTCCTCTTGTGCTTCCTCGACCTCCTGCTCGTATTCCATTACTACTTTGCTCAAGATTTTGAAGAATGTCTCGTCTAAATCGGGCACCACAACCATCTGATGAATATTCGAATATGTCATGGATAATCCGTCGTTTAAGGCCCACTCGACGAATAGATCTAGCGAAACATTCGTTAAATCTTGGTCGCCATGAGTTCGAACAAATTCCTTCATTATCCTCGTTAGAGCCTGTACTACCACAAAGAGATCCTTCTGTCCGTTCTGCATGCAATATATTTTCATCTGCTTTATGAATTGGTCCATCAACAGTACGGTTTGATTGCTGTTCCAATAATTTAAAAACCATATCATAAGCTGACTCTCCATTACTGCTTTCTGTTGCTTCTTTATTCTCGACATCACATTCAATCTTACATTTTTTAAAGCTTTTTTCTTTTGCTCTTGTTTCTTCGGAACACTCAGAATCGCTTGAGTATTCTCCATGTCTTGTTCGTTTTCTTGATGTTTTTTGTACTTTGATCCATGTTGATAGTGTTCCTATTCTTCCGACAGATACACGGCCTCTTCGCATTGCTGAGAAGCATTGAGGAAAGTCGTGGCTGAATGATATAGCTAACTTGTAACCTCCTTTTTATATCGGTTACCAACCCATTACCGGTTACCCCGGTAACCCCCTTTTTATATCGGTTACAAACCCATTCTAGGAAGTCTATCAAGGGCGGACCACGTTTAACCAATATTGTAGCTATCACATTGGTGATTATTTCGGGCCACAAACCGGGGGCGGATGGAATTATATCGACGCTAGCCTTATTAAAGCCTTCATCGAAAGTGTCACTTGCAGCAGGTATTTCCGTAGCTGACATTACCGAACTTCTTACACAAGCTGAATTACCTGAAGTGGATTGTTCAAGTGCTGTAGACGAGGATAGTGTCATCGCTTCATCGGGCTCTGCAGTAGTAGAAGCTGTTTTGCTGCTACAACCGCCGCCACTTGTTGCAGGACCTGATGTTACCGTAGTCGCCTCTGTTGAAATTTCAGATGGTCCACTCACGGTTACTGATATTACGGATTTAGAATCTTGAGATTCGGTCGCATCAATAGTCTACGTGGAATCTTCATTTTTTTGCAAGAAGTGCTTTGAAGGTCCAGCCATTTTTTCCCTTTCTTATAGTCTCAGTTTCTTTTGCTCGCGAAACTTCGCACCTGAAGGTCTCTTTCTTTTATCCTGAAAAAACAAATAAATAATTAGTACTTATTGGAATTAGGAATTAACTTCTAAAGTAATCACAATAATAAGCACCAAGTTTATATATTGCATATTTAAGTAAAAAGGAATTTGTTCGAGCCCCTTCAGCTTAAACCTTTTCAAAAATAAAGGCAGAAAAAGTATTAAACTAATTTGATCTTATAGCCCTTAAAAAACCCACAAAATGGTTTTTTAAAAAGATCGATAGCATGAAAATTAAGCGAGTAATGGATAAAAAACCAATTACTTTTTTAAACTCGTACAGGGTCTTTGACTATATTTACGTACTTTTTAGAGCCTTTATTATGTCAGATAGAAAAAAATGTTTTATGCAGAAATTGTAGGTTTTTTCCTATATTATTTATTGAAGTTATCAGATAAAAACAGGAAACAGATAGGATTCCTATAAAGGGTTAATGTTGATAGTATAAAGTAGGGAACATCTACCATTTTATAAAAAAATCAAACCGTTGAAATTGCAGTCAGCAGGTATTCAGCATTTAATTTTTTAGAAAAAAAAAAGTAGTAAACAAAATATTATACCACACAACATTTGACAAAATAAAAATAATTTTAAATGTAAAAATTAATTGGATTACTTGTTTTTATGCACTTGTTGCACGGTCCAGTGAACTAACCGGTTTAAAAACACCTCTGGCGATGCATCGCTTTTATAGCGCTCCGGGCATTGTTCATGTCTGAACAGGAAAAATCAAGAAACTACCGCCTGACATGTTCTTGCTATATAGGAATCGGCAGTAACTGGATTAATAATTTCTCAACTTTTTTATTTTAAAATTATTTTGTCTTTTTTGGAAATTTTTGCAATTTTTGACCCTGGTTTTTAACTATCCATTAAGGGCGCCAAAACCCCAGTGCCCGTGTGCATTGCACAATTTGCACATATGGTAGCGGGGGCCCTGTCTAAGATCGTATTCAGATGAATCAAATTGCTCACTACAGACTTCTATTCTGTATCCGCCATGGAAACGAACATGCTCGCTGTAATATGAGCGAACTTGTCGAATTTGGTACGTTCCCAGGGCGAACAAAATCAGATCTGTCATTTCTAATATTGGAAAATACAAAATGTTATCCATATCCGCAGTAATACCTTAAAAGTAGGATGTGCGTCTGTTTATATTTCGAGTTTCAACTATATTAGCCAGATTATTTTCTAAATTCATTCGCTATCTAATTATTTCTAATATTTCTGTGGCATATATATTAGCTACAAAGCGAACACCAAACATGTGTAACAGAGCTGCTGATATTTGGAAGTATTGCATCATGTGTGATAGAGGCCTATGGAAATATTCTTGTCGAAATAGTTTAAAATCTCTTTTAAAATGTCCATTCACGGCCTCTACCACCCATCTGCAAATTGTGACACAGCGATTCCGATTGGCTTGAGCAATAGTGAGTTGGTGTTCATCTTGTATTAAAGATTTTGGCATATAAGGTTTGTACCCACATCCTTCTAACAAACTTATACTGTCTCTGTATCCCCTATTCAAAATAAATTACTTATTTGTGGGCTGCATTCAAAGTTAATTAAACTAATTTAAATTAGTAAATGCGACAATAGAGATTGCCTCTACTACGAACTGATTCCAAATTAATTGTCAAATAATTATTCTGCCTAATAAAAGCAGTCTTGGTAGCCAAAATCTTGGCTGAGCTAAAAAGTAAATAATAAGATTATTATATTAAGCACATTTGCTATCAGTCTTAAATTATATTTGGATAGGTAATACCTATCTTTTGTCCAAAACTAGTTTATTAAATTATTTATATCAATTAAATGAAATTTATCATTATTACAAATACAATTATATGTCAAATTTAAATTATTGTTACATATTATGTGTGGCAATCCCTGTATGTAAGGCAGTGTGAACAAGACAATTTTGTGTACATTTAAGTTATTAAGTTGCTCAATATATTGTAATAACTGTTTGTTGTTTACACTACCTCTTCTACCAACAAAAATTATTATTGTACTATTTGGGCAAAATTTAGTAACTATAATTTTATTTAGGATGTCACTAAAAGATGCTCCAAGCATGCAGCAATTTGTAATTTTTCGTCCCTTTAAAGAGTAATTTAAAGTTATGCATAGATTTTTTCCTATGTCATCGCTATAAACAATTATATTATTTTTGTTAATATCGAAGTTATTTTTTCTTTTAAGCTCCTCTGCTATGGCACTATCATAGAGTTTTGGTGGTAGTATAATATTATCAGCACACACCGACTCTGAAGAAGCTGGTATTGAATGCTGACACTCACATTGATGTTTAATTAAGGAGTCAAAACGCTCCTCATTGTATTTACATGTTTTTACCAGATTATCCATAGCCAGTATGTGTTCTTTTATTTCGTTTTGGGCTGATTTATATTTATTGGATACAGTTTGAAGGGAATTTGTAAGAGATAATATTTCTGATTTAAGGCACTCTACGTCAGTCTCATAACATTTTCTTATGTTATCCACCTCAATTGAATACAACTTAAGTTCATATATCAATGATTGCTTTTGTTTACATAAATTAACAGAATTTTTGGTATTAATCTTATTTTTTTATTAATTTTTGTACTTTCCTTATGTATTTATTAACGTTATATGTGAAGGGAGTAACTATGCTTTTGGAACATGTAGTTCAAACTTTTATTTATGTATATATTATATATACAGTGTGTCCGGTCACTTTTATAATCCAGCTTGAACTTTGTTTAGTTCTTATTCTAACAGTTTTCACGTTTTTCTTAAAAGTCTTATCAAAAATTGCATACAGTTTTTTTATGACACTATTTACTCCATCATTTTGCCATTCATGTTTCAATATGTGTTCTCTGAATAATTTATTGTTCATCTCATTA